TGGGAACACCCTGGGGACACTTTCAGGACACTTTGGGGACTCTTTGGGGACACTTTCAGGACACCTCGGGGACACTCTGGGAACACTTTGGGGACACTTTCAGGACACTTTGGGGACACTTTCAGGACACTTTGGGGACACCTTGGGGACACTTTGGGGACACTCTGGGAACACGTTCAGGACACTCTGGGGACACTCTGGGGATACTCTGGGAACACTTTCAGGACACCTTGGGGACACTCTGGGGACACCTTGGGGACACTTTGGGGACACTTTGGGGACACTTTCAGGACACTCTGGTGACACTTTCAGAACACTTTCAGGACACTCTGGGGACACTTTCAGGACACTCTGGGGACATGTTGGGGACACTTTCAGGACACTCTGGTGACACTTCGGGGACACTTCCGTCCCCCCGCCGCCCCGACCTTCCCCTCACCCGCCCAGGATGGCGGCGCGCCGCCGCCGCCGCGCTCCGATGACGTCACGGCCGCGCCGCTCCCCCTCCCTCCCGGAAGGTCCCGCCGCGCTCTCGATGGCGGCGCGGGCTCCCCGCTGACGTCATCGCGGCGCGCCGCGCGCGGGGCGGGCGGGCGGAGGGCGGCGGCGGCGGCTCCGGCGGGGCGGGCGCGGGGCCGGGGGGCGGCCCCAACATGGCGGCGGCGGCGGCTCCTCCCGCGTCCCCGCCGGGCGCCGCTTCCTCACCGGGCCCCTCATCCCCGCCGGGGCCCCGTTCGCCGCCGCCGCCGCCGCCCCCCCCCTCAAGATGTCGGCGGCGGCCCGGTCGCGCGAGGCGTGACGTAGTCAGGCCCCGCCGGCGGGAGGGGGGCGGGGGAGCGGCCGGAGCGGCGCAGGCGGCGGGACCGGGACCGGGAGCGGCAGCGGAGCCGGGAGCGGCGGCGGGCGGAGTGCCGGGGCGGCTCCTCAGGGCGCCATGGCCCCGGCGCGGCGGCGGCGGCGCGGGCCGGGCGCGGCGCGGCGGCGGCGCTGAGCGGGAGCGGCCCCGCGGGCGCGGCCCCGGGGGCTCG